CTGCGTGTGCTTCCCTTAATGGATATTGCATCGGTTGCTGAATGCCCTAACTACAAAGGGAATTCAGGCTAAATGCACATCCCTACAGCATAATCTTCCAGTGAAAAGCTCAGTGTGATGAACAGTCACAGGATCACTCCTACTGAATACAGTCAGGATTTTTCCGTAACATAGTTTCTTTAAGACTTATGATTTAAGAAAAGGTTTGTTTGTGTGATTCAAAATCGATGACTACAGAAAGTCCTATTTAATATGATGTATCTGCAGATCACAATATCTGCATATTTTACAGATACCTGGAAATTAACTGAGATTCTAAATACAAACAGAAGAATCTTTCAACATATGAGGAACGTCTCCCACATGTATGTATGCAAAATAAAAGAAGGGATAATTAAGGGGGTGGGAGGTCCATGTAAAAATGTGCAAAACCATCCCAGGGTGTTGGTTTTCCATATTAATTCCATTGGTAGCCCAATTTCTGCAAAAAAAAATACATTAAATGTTTCACTGTATTAAACAGAAAAAGGAAACATGCTTCTCATTTTGTTCCCTTATTTCTAGATCATATCACTCAGTTCTGTTTCTGCCCTTCACACTTCTTTTTCTGGCTGAAGCGGAATAAATGATGACCTCTGAAGGTCCCTAACAACCCAAAGCATTCTATGATTCTAAATAAAACTGTGCTTACTTGGGAGCTACTGTAGCCTTGAGCTTAGCAGGCAGAAGTAGGATACCTCATTCATGTACACCAAAATCAGGAAATTACTTAAGAAACAGAAAAGTGATTATATTTTGGACATGAATAAAAGCCATACAAGATCATAGATAAGATAGTCACCTCAGTTTGCTGTCATAAAGTATGCCTTTTTCCTTCACTGTATGTCACATCTACATGCCAGTGACATCAGGTGCCTCTGAACTACAATCCCTGAACTGAGGCAAAGGGCTTCAGGAGTGTCACACGTTCGCACATAATGCCAGCCAGGATATATACTCAAATGTCCCTTGCCTCTCTAAATAATTAAAAAGCCATTCTTGATAAGAAATCTTCAGGATTGTTTTTTTCCTTCTGATTTTGATCTTTCAGTCCAGAATTGCTCTGAAGTATTTAATTTTCTTATTCTATGCCATGAATGTAAGCAACTTCTTCAACTGTGCAATGTCCTTTCTGACTTTATTTCTAAAGAGCTTATATTATACTCTTTCCTCCACTTTTTACTACTTCTTGAAAAATAAAACTCAAATCAGCTACTGTCCACTTACTTACCAGCAAATGGTGGATACAATCAATAGGACCACATCAACATGCAGAATCTTTCACAGCTATAATTATATTACACCAGAATTTCATTTTCAGATCTATCCTTCACGTTTTATTTTTCATATGTACCAGAACATATTTTTAAATCTTGTACAAGTCAATGGGATGTAAGGATACATTTCCAAACAACCCTGCTCTTGAAGACTTTGCTGTATTAAAGCCTTTATGTCCTGTCCCAGAAGCCTTCTTTGAGAGAGTGCTGCCACTGAAGCAGAGAGCAATTTATTTGAATAATAGTCAAGGAATTGAAACATTTTAGATGTAATAATGGTCATTACCAAATTTTAGTTATTCCACAGGCATTGCATTACAAAATCTGTTAAGGCAGGCAAAATCTTTATGCCAAGGACAGTAAAAACTCTGCTTTTGAAGCACCTTAGCATGAAGAACATCCACCTGCACACTGATAACAAACTCAGAGTAGCAAAGCAAGGTTCTTACAAGGATTGTGAAAACAAAAATTGTACCAGCTCTGACCATTCCTCTCAAGTCGTACGTGAACGAAGGGCAACGCTCTGTCTGCATATTACAGCGACCTGAAGGAAATCACAGGCAACTGCAGCCACTACCACCAGCATTCTTACTGGGGACCAAAAGGGCCTGAGCTGCTAACAATGTCCTGAGTAAATCCTCCTTTGATTTAAGACCTCTCACAGCATGGCCTTTATAAGCACTAGGCATTATTTTGTTAGAATTTCTTCTCTTCGAGCTCCTTGCACCTAATTGCATAACTGGTACATAACTGTGACATTGGCTTGTGTTTAATCAGCAGCACTACATGTTCATTTCTTTACTTTCAGCTATTTCAAAATGTTTCACTTACAGTTTCTATGCACTCCACGTGCATCTATACACACCATTAACAGATGGGAGTTCATCATTCGAAGATCTCTCAGCTGACAACGTTCTGAGAGTATTTGTGTGTGTCACAGCTTGTGGTATGTTTGGGAAATCTTGTCATCAGAAAGAGATCATTTATCAAAGCAGAAAACAAGATGTACACTATGTCTATCAAAATTTTCTAAGTATGTATTGAAGGTACTCATAATACATTTATTTGATTAGTACATTAATGAAAATAACATATTACTATGGTATTGTATACTACAATATGACATATTATATATAATACATTACATTATGTATGTTCCAGTAATTTCAGTTTGCATTCTAGACACATGCTAGTTTCAAAACATTTAAAAATGTTGTGCATTATCTATTTTTGCACTCTTTTCTGATACTCTCAATGAAAGTGGATGTCCAAAAAATAACCAAGGTCCTTCAGTTCCTTGACTTTGGATAGTCAAGATGTGTACAAAGAATTTAAATATTTCACTTCATTAATTACTACTATTCGTTCTGCATTAAAGAATATGGACAACCTAGCTACTGTTAGACTACTTGCTGTCTGAGTTTATTCTGTGATGTGTCAAATCACCATATCTCCTTTCTTTGCACAGGAAGTAATAGGTGCTTCTGTTATTTTTAAATTGTATATTTCAAAACATGAGTACTTCCAAACGATTGTACCATACCCTGTCCAGCAGTTGTTCCCAAATTAAGAATCCTCATGCCAATAGAAATGTGGGACCAAATCCATATTTGCTGTAGCCAAATCCTACTTCCTTGCAAGCTTATGGTGTAATTGTGTGATGCTGTTTCCTGGTAATTAACCCTTTAAAAACATATGAGAATTCTTATTACTTCCCCTCTCTTTGTTCCAGCTAGCCACACCTACAAACTCTGCTTTCTGACTGCATGGGAACTTCACGTAGGAAAGATTTTGTTTTGCATGACTTCACATGCTTACAGTGTAGATGTCTCTGAACTAGGCACCTTGCCCTCTCTTTATAGTCAATGAATTGTGCAATTTCCCTAATTCTAAAAAAGATGCCCAAGGTAGGTCTAATGAATCATGTCCCAAAAGTATCTGTTGACTTCATCGACTGTAAAGACAGCCAAGGCACGACTGGTTCAGATCTTCACCTTTGTAAATGGTGAAGAGTCAGGTAAAATGAATACACCTTGTTAGCAGATACTTATTGTGGATGTGTACGATTAGAAGAAGTGAGTCCCAGGCAAGATATCAGAGATCGACTGTGCATTTATTATATAGTGTCATGTATACACTACACAGTGCCATAGACCTGCCAGGTCTTCCAGACTCTGCCGAGACC